CCCTTTTCTTATTCCTAAAGGTTCTACTAGCTTCACGTCTCACGTTACATAGATTATCCATATTTGCTTTGTTTGGGTCCTGCAACCATTGAAATTATGTTTACTTCCTTCGATCTATTAATTTTGAACATTCTTCATCAATCCACGGTTTATTTTGCTTTCTCCTGTAGTATCCTAGTTTCTCTTTGGCTGAAATTTTGATGCAGTTTCTGACATTTTCCCACTCCCTGTTGATGTCCACACTATCATTACCTTCATTTGTTTCTAAAATTTGAAACCTATTCGAAATTTCAACTTGATATTGTTCCTTTGCCTCTCCCTTACTTAATATTTTCAAATCAAATCTTTCTGTTTTGAAATTTTGCTTAGTTCGTCTACTTACAGAAAGCCGCTCCCTCACTTTTGCTACCAGCAGATAATGATCAGTGTCACAATCTGCTCCTCTGAAAGACCTCACATCAATTATATTTGTGTGCCTTCTATTATTTACTAACACATGATCTATTTGATTGTGTGTGCTCCCATCTGAAGAAGTCCAAGTGTATTTATGAATATCACAGTGTGGAAATTTTGTACTTTTTACAATTAAATCTTTTGATGCAGCAAAGTTTACTGCTCTAACACCGTTATCATTACTAAGTGCATGGAGACTCTCCCTGCCTATTTTGGGTTTGAAAATATCCTCCTCCCAATTTTGGTATTGAAATCTCCTAGCAGAATTTTCATGTGATACTTGCCAAATGTATCAAATACTGATTCCAATTCTTCATAAAAGCTCTCTTGATATCATCGCTTTTGTCCTCAGTTGGGGCATGAACATTAAGGACAATAATTTCACACCAACTACCGTCCAGAATTACGTAAGACAACCTGTCACTGTCAAATTCTACTCTCTTAACTGCTGCCCTAATTCTGCTATGAACAAAAAATCCTGTCGCTAACTGATGACTGTCATTGCCCTTTCCGTAGAAAAATGTGAATATGTCCACTGGGATCGCGCCCTCCCTCTCCCATCGCACCTCCTGCACTGCCACTAAATCTAACTTATAATTCTCTAATTCCCTACTCACTGATTTCAGTGTCTCAGCCTTTGAGACTCCTAATGTTCCAAGTACCAAATCTCATATCCTTTTTCAATTGCCACGGTCATGCCAAAGAGTCCGTCCTGATCAGAGGCTTAGTTAATGTGTTTGTAACAATGTTTTTTTTACGGTGAAAGGTTGTTAGCCTTAAGCCCAACCCCCAAGCTGGAGGACCACCCCTCGACCGCTGTCCACAACTGCTTATTGAATATATTCGCAACTACAGCCATGCATAAAGAGAAGCTTCATAATTTGTACTCTTCAGGGTGATCAGTTCAAGGAGAAATATGTTTGAGGCATTTAGCAGAAAATCTAAAGGGTAGAGATCACTTGTGAGAGATAGACATAGATGGTAGATTAATGTTAGAATGGATTGTGAAGAAATGTAATATGACACTATGAACTTGGTTTAGCTAAGGATAGGACTTGGTGGCAGGCTCTTGTGGACACATAAGTGAGCAGATGTTATCTTCTCAAGAAGGACTCTGATGCATGTAGTTATTTAGGATAATATTGAATGTGTGTATCATTTGCAATATTTTACATTCCATAACGATGTTAATAAAATTCACAATACAACATTACTATAGTGGCAGTAGGTTAGACACATTTAATTTTCTTATTTGTAAGAAATCAGATTTATGTGTATCTTTATTTCCCTCTGTAATGACTAATGATGGTGTTTCTTGTAACAGTATGGACAAGATGATGTTGTAAACCATCTCACTTTTGTATTATTTAATTTGTCATTTTCTTTTATATAAAATAATGATTGTCTCTTTTAGGCTTTCCCATATGCTGATATTTGAAACTAATACACCTGTACTTGCCAAAGATGCAAGTACCAAAACTGATGACTGGTTTGAAATCTATGATCCACGAAATCCTATCAATAAGAGGAGAAGAGAAGCAAGTAAAGATGCTATGAAAACTAGAGATAAGCAGTAAAGGAATGTGAGTAAACCTTGTCTTGCTTGAAAAATCACAATTCTTTGTCAACCCCTGATGAACTGTAAGTAAATAAATTTGTTCCATACCCTGGTACATTTTCTAAATATATTCCATGTAATGTAGTGGAGTTCATCAGGATGATCTTCAATGTGATAAGATTTCTCCTGTATTTTCTCATAGTACAGTCCAGTTTGTATTTTCAATTCTTCATTAAACCTGAAATAATGTTTTGCTCCATGTATCTTGTTGAGGGATTACAAAGTCCTGTTTTTAGATCCTTGAATAATACTTGTCTCATATGACACTATTTTAGTCAGTAAATGGCTGGCAAAAAGCTTAACGGACAGTGTCCAATCCGTAGCAGAGAGAGGAAGTTTCCTCATCACCACCATGATCTAACTGTCTCTGGAGTCTAAATAGCCTTTCTCCTATCCAGTCTAAAATTGCTGGAGCTCGAAGCTCATTGTAATGTCAAGATCTAAAATTCATGAAACTCCACTGGAGCATAGCTATTTGAGCTGGGTGTTTTCTTCAGTTCCTTTTAGGCATACCTGAATAGTATCATGGATTAGGCCATTACCATTTGCTCCCTGAATATTTCTAGTTCACCTTCATCATCATGTCATTATAAACGACATAATTTAAGCATATAAAATAAATTTTAAATAACCAATGAGCCAGTAATGATGGTGTCTTTGTAGAAATGTTTATTTTCATCTTTGAATATGAAGGTATAGCAGTAATATGCTGAATTTCTATACCTACAAACTTGTGTTTGAGTTAAGCCAAATCTTTTACAGAATGTTTTTACATGTTTTTCTCCCATCACCTCTGTTAAAGATAACACTTAGTGAATTTGAGGGTTAAAAGGCCATTGTCTTAGTTTGGGTATCGCTGGTGCTGGCTTTTATCCAGTGGCGGCTCGTGAGTCTGAGCAGTGGTAGTGCTGCGCAAGGGGAAAAACTCAGAATACTTTTTCAACACATAACAATATAAACAAATGAAAAGTAAATTTACATCAGGAGAAAACCCATACGTGCTCGACGATGTTTCAACTATTTATAAGTCTGGAAGAGGGCGGCCATGATTTTTTACATCACTTTTTTCACTCAAAGACAATTTAGAAAAAGTAATTTGCTGTAACTATGATACACTTCCTTTGCTCATTATCAGAACAAAAAATACTCAGCAAACAGAATTATTGAACACTCATTATCAATAACCACGAAACAGATTGTGATACAGAAACCAATCTAAAACACGTGGTAACGGGCCAGCATGTTTACTATAAGCCCGCTGCGGCGACTGCAGCCCCGATACGCACTGGCTCTGGTGCTAACATAAAAAATAATCATGACAATGTGAAGAGGGCTGTTACTTAAATTACACAAAGGGCTCAACTGTGAATCAACAATTAGGGTGGCCATTTCGAGTCATGTAAAGAACGTGAATAATTGAAAATGCAATTTAGAGTGTATTCTAAACTTAACAATGACGACAACGACAACAGCAACAACAACAGTGTGACTTAAAATTAAATTAAATTAATGCAAAATGTTACAAACACAATAAAATGCTCATTCTCATTTTCTTTACAGATCAGATCCACATTTATTTGAACTTTTTGACTCAAAATGATTCCAAGAGCATGTGGTTAAGCTATGGACATCCAGTTGCTTGACATTCTGTGTGTACAAATGAGTTGGTACAGGAATAGAGGTTCATACGATGTTAAATTATTCACTGTTTGAATATTTTTGTCTTCTGGGTTTTGCACCGTGTAGTCTGGTAGAAGTTTGCTGGCGTTTCAGAGGTGCTTACTGCACCTGCACCTCCAAAGTGGTGATGAACTTCTACCAGACTACACCAGAGGAGAGCCACTTTTGTACTTGCTCCCATGTGAACCTGAATATAATTGTTGATAGTTTAATAGGCAGTATGAGAATAAAGTGATTGTCATTGAAAGTATTAATAGTACTGGTAATTAAATTTTTGCATTACTTGTCCCCTATATAATTAAGGTTTAAAGAAATGTAATGTTTGGATGTGTGTGCAAGCCTGTCACTTTTGTGTCCAAATTATTTTATAATTTTAAGTAAGTTGTGGGCTTCTGGGATAGTTACTGTGAAATTAGGCAATACAAATGTCTGATTATGGAATTACGTATCTTACTTTCTGTCTGGTTGGTTTCTTTTGTGATGTACAAGTATTATGTTGGCAAATTTGATCACATATTATTAAGGTACTTTAATGGGTTTCAGTGTTTCCTAGACTCTTTTGAAAGAATTAACTTTGCATATGGACATTGATTAGTTTTAAATGTTTAGTCCATGATTTTCTGGGGATATGGTTGCACAACCTACAATTTATCTAAAGTGATAAAAACAATATATCTATCAAACAATCTAAATTGCAGATTTATAATACAATAAATAAACCAATAGTGCTGTGTGGTTGTGAAGCATGGGCCATGACTGAACAAGTGAAACAATGGGTTATCATATTGAAGGAGGCACTGTCTGTATGCCCAAGAAGAAGAAGAAGATGTTATATTTTCCCTTCAGACTTTGTCTGGGTAAGATTTAATTTGAAGACTTGCAGTCATTTTCTGCTGAACATGATTATATGTCTCATTATTTTCAGAATCTGTTCATATAAATAGAATACAATACACATTTAAAGAACAATACCATAGGCGGGCTTTGGTGTTATCAGTTGTTTGAAACATTCATTAATGTACAGGTTCCCTGTCCCAGTTGTCATCTTCATCTTCACTATCATCTTGTCAAAATGGAAATACTTATACTACCCAGTGAATTTTCCTATTTAGTGTAGAATTTGCCTTCACCCTTGTCATGCAGACAGAGGTCAGGATGTTCAAAAACATTAGCCATGGTAGCAGCAAAAGCAATATAGTTGACTCTTATTGACATTTCTGTTTGTATTAGCAAAATAAGATGGTACAAGAAGTCAAAGATGACCATTGAAAATGCCTGACTGGTCCTGAACCTGTTAGAAGAGCAGTGAATTTTCTGAAAACTAATTTCTTGTCTGTCTCACTGACTGTGAAAAAATAGTCAATAAATTAATTGTATTTAGAACATCTCAACATGTTTATTAGTAATATTAAAATATATGACTTCACATGGTATTAAAATTGTCTTTAATCACCTACATGAAATATTCATATTTATAAGGTATGCACTTTTGAAGATGGCTGTCTTGTTGGTTGTTGCGCCATGTAATCAGGTAGAAGTTTACTTACTTTTCAGAGGTCTTTGCTGCCTCCATCATCAGAGCAATGAGTTTGCCACGCAACCAACCAACCAACCAAAAAGCTAAATGACTGTGGAGTTCTGCGCAAGAGCAAGACATCGTCCCTTGCTACGAAATACCATTCCTGTGTACAAAACGCATTGCTGGAAATGGTAAACAGAGCCTTGTAACTAAAACGACAATTTGCTTACGCTAATGGGGGTTCTGTCGCGGCAGAAGCCTTGACTATTCAAACTGTGGTCTGTTGCTGCTGATGGGAGGATATCCCATCGGGCAACTTATCCTTTGTGCAAAAGATTTTGTTTGGAGTATTCCCAGCGAGTGTAAACGGTGAGAGTTAGAGGAAACTGACAGTCAAGGAAGAGCCTTATTGGCCTTTATTAATGTCCTGCAAGTCCGGCCGGTGGATCACCGGACATATGGGAGGTGGGTGGACGTGTTGAGGAGGAATCAGGAGAATGGAAATCGGAACTGGCAGGGGCCGGATGTCCCATTAAAACGCAGTGTAGTGGCTTAGTGATTTGTGTGGGACTGGCATTGCTCTGGGATACTTTCTGAGTCCTTTCAGACAGTAGATGAGGGGCTTCAATGACCAGCTCAGGCGAAGTCCATCCTACCTGTTCAAGTTGTTCGGATGTAGCTTGATCTCGATGGCCTCCCTGATGATCTGGTCCATGTATCTGTATTTGGTGGACATGATGGTGGCTTCTTGGAGTTGAATGCGGTGGCCCAGGTTGATGCCTTGACTGTCAGTTTCCTGTAACTCTAACAGTTTCCACTCGCAGGGCTTACCTCATCGCCCTGATGATGGAGACAGCAAAGACCTCTAAAATATTGGTAAACTTCTACCAGGCTACATGGCGCAACAACCCAGAAGACAGCCATCTTCAGACTCACTGCCATGAAAACTTCAAATCCTGCTTATGCACTACTCTATATGAAGGAATTAAGTTGTGAGGGATTGACTGTTGTTAAATAGTAGAAATAAAAGTTATGTAAACCCTTATCCATTGCTGGGGTTATGTTGCTTGAGAAGTGCACTTTAGGTAAATCTATGTTGGTGAGATCCAGGTTCTCATAGTGGCAAGTATGAAGATTACTGTGTTCTGGGATGTTGTGCCCTGTAGTCTGGTAGAAATTGACCAGTATTTTAGAGGAACTTACTTCCTCTATCGCTGTGATGATGGAGACTTCTGAAACATTTGTTAATTTCTGTGAGACTACACATTGCAGCATCCCAAATAACAGTCATCTGCAAGTCTGTTGTACAACCTTTACACCTAACAGGTTAAAGTTTGTACCTCTGAATGGTGTTGATGAAGACTTCTGTTGGTTTTTATGATGGTGATGATGCATGTGGAAGCTGAGAATTTAATTCTCTGAGGTCAGTGAATCATTAGGATCATTGGCTAGTTACGTCACAAACCAATTGAAATGGATACTAGTGCATGTGTTGACATGCACAGCACAAGATCATGTTTGTCAGACTGCATATATTCACATTCTTTTGTCTTTGGAGGATAATTAGTTTAATTTGTGTTTTTGCATCAAGCATATCGAGTCTATTTGATGTTAAGTAGGTTGTTAAGGACTCAACGATTTTTTACGTCTTCTTTCTCTGTTATTATTTAGTTCTCTGAATGTTGTGATACTTTTGTCACATTCACATTTTCTCAACATATTCCTTTTCTGTCCATGTTAAGATGCTTCATGGTGCCTAACAACGTTTTATACCAGACAAGAGTTTTGTCTGCAAACATCCAATTAATCTCATTATAAAGGCTACAATGTTCAGATGAGGACAGTTAAGGAAATTGTAAGTGATATATGACTCAAATTTCTGGAATACAGTAATGATTGGCAGCTACAGTAGCAGTAGTAGTACCTTCAAAAGAGTCTTTATGCATGCTACATTCCATGCCAATGTCAACAAATTCCATGATGCAGGATCTGTCTTTCAAAGTTTATACTTCCCTGCATTTATTGAAGCTGTAGGTTCATTGCTGTGTTCACAAAACCCCATCATAAGACGTCTTCATCCTTTCAACCAGTCCACTGCTTCATATCCTATTCTCTACACTGGATTCCAGTCTTATTGTACCATACCTATACAGTTCGGATTCCCTCGAAATTTTCCACTTTAAACTGTGTGCGTAACATGCCCCCACCCGTCTCTTTATTGGTTTCAATTCTTCAAATATAATATCACATGAATACAAATTACAAAGCTCAAAAATAACCTATGTGCTCTACCCTCCTGTTCTTGTCTCATAGTCCCAAATATTCTCCTCAGCACTTCGTCTTCGAAAGTTTAATTTGTTATTCCCGCAGAGAGAACTGTTTGGAGCCCATTCAGTACGGCAGATATAATTACAGGTTTATATATTGATCTTTATTTTTTAAAACTGTGTGTGTGTGTTTTTTTTTCTATCAATCCTAGGATTGGTTTGCAACCCCATTTCGGGGTTGTTTCTTGCGAAGATACCACGGTGGTTTCGCCTTGTCTTCCGTGACAAGTCTTTATCCATCAGACTGGAAGAGAAAGGACGCGGACAAACATCCATGCCTTCAGTGGGACTCGAACCCACGGTCGCAGCGGCCAGGCGCACGAGGTCCATGCCTCAGACCGCGTGGCCTGCTAAAACTGTCCTGGAGTATAAATAATTCTGAGCCGAATGATAGCAGCAAGTATTTCCCCAATTCATTCCTGTGTTATTTTCGTCACCAATGTACATTTTTCTTCTGGTAGTCAAAGATACGAGGGTTTTCAGAGGATATGACATCAATACCGACCACTTCATTCTCGTTTCTAGGATAGATGTCCCAGAAAAATGGCGCAAAAACAAACCAACTATAAAGTACGAAATGATCGGGTCCTAGACAGGATAGGCGAAGGAAGGAGTCTATGGAAAAATCTTACAGAAGAAGAGATAGGATGGTGGGACACATTCTGAGGCACCCAGGATTGGTTAATATGGTAGTGGAAGGAAGAATTGTAGGGGGAAACAAAGATTGGAATATGTGACGCAGATTTTTGAGGATGTGGGCTGCAAAAAATATGTGGAAATGAAGAGATTGGCGCAAGATAGGCGAAAAAGGAGGACCATATCAAACCAGTCGAAAGACTGATGACAAAGAAACAACCGACATGAAGCAGCACCGATCACCTGACCTGACGCCATGTGATTTCTTCTTATGGAGGTACGTTAAATACTAGGTTTTTGTACCACCTTTGCCACATGATCTGCCTCAGCTGCGAAGATGAATCATCGCTGTCATCTCACAAATCGATCGTGGCATGCTGAAGCGGGTATGGGCGGAAGTAGATTATCGGCTTGACGTTTGCCGCGTCACAAAGGGCGGGCATATAGAGCATTTATGAGGTATGTAAAATAATCTTGGAGAGTTTATCTTTTTATCGGCATGTCCTATGTTACCATCCGTTTGACCATTTAAGTCTAGCGATTTTTTGTAATGTGTCAGGGAATTATGAATAACCCTGTACAATATCGACGTAGGCCTGTAGTAAGAAATATGGGGGTTTTAGTTGTTCTTCACAATCTAGAGTGATTTGAAACGCCTTTGGAGTATCATTGTACTCCAAATTCTTTCCAATCTTGTGCAATAGCGGCACGAAAGCCCATACTGATATGTGTTGTACTCAAACAATGGTAGTGTTTCCTGTCGCGCAGGTTGGTGTAGCTGTAACACTTTATACTTGTATTCGACATGCACCCTTTTCGAATCTGGGCTCTGTGCCGGCTATCCGTAAGATTTTCTTGTATTTACTGTCCCTACAGACGTATTCCGGGATACTACGATCGACCTTAGAGATTTCACCTCCAATTCAGCAAACTCAGCATATCTACTACTAGGGTTCCCGACCAGAACTCTGTGACATTTTTTTCCAATTTATCCCGATTTGTGCTTTATGTCTCTTCCATCTCGTTTTTGGTATTATTCACCCTAATAACAGAGTACAAATATCGTAGATTATTTCAGTGTTATTTCCTAATTTTTTTATTTTTGTTACATCCACAGCCTTGCGATAAGGCCCTATGATATGAAAAACATGAGGTTCCTAAGAAATTTTAAAAAAAATATATTACAAGAATTATTTGGAAGCTGAAGTTTTTGTTTCAATAGGTACAGGAGCTTTTTTTCATGACTGGTAATAATTTAAATTACAGGTATTTAAAAACATCCGCAGTATTTGGAAACCACCTTAAATGGTCATACATGAGTTGGGTTAATTTGAGCTTAAACTTAAATTCAGCACCGTTTGCACAATCTCGTATTTCCTCTTTCTACATTCGATCCCCAAATACAATGAACGTAGCAACGATGCTTATAACCAACGTTTAGATTTTATCATTTGAAGGACATTTCCATGATCTTTGAAACAACACGTTCCTTTCCCTAGTGTTGGTTTTGTAAGCCGTCTATAAGTTTTTAAGTCCGGTTTGAACATTAACATCGTCCGATTCTATAATAAGCCACAAGCAGTGTCTTGGAGGTCGAGCTCATTGGTTCAAGATAAAAGCTTCTAGCGAGCAAGAAGGGAACTAACAGCTACTCCTCGGTTTTAATTCCCGGCAGTCGTTCTTAGTACAACATACGGTGAGGTTAAGCGCGTGCATTGTGAACTAAATTGTCGCTTGAAATAGTATCGCATAAGAACGAGGAGAAAAAGTGGACTAATTCGATTGTTGCGATGGAAATCGAGCTCTGTGAGCTCGCCATATTTAATGTAATTCATTTGTTGTCGTGGGAACAATTAATAGTGACATCGCGAGAGTTGGATTGCTGTGTTGAATGGTAACCATACTTTGAAATACTTCACTGGCCTCAAGACTCAACTCAGACTTACAGAAAATCATGTCCAGCTTCGATCCAGGTATTAAGCAAATTAACTTCATGTATTTTTTTCATTTAGATATTTAGCAATTCTTCAAGGACGACAACATAAATTCTTAGCTTGATTTTACTGTTTATGCATTGCTTGCCTTCAAAGCAAATATAATATTGATTCAGTTCATAAAATTATTTTGCTTTACATTTCTCATATACATTAATGTACCATGACGATGAATAAGTCGGTTAAATTCACTGAGTAAAGCAACAGGCTAGGGGCTGGGCACTCGTGTTTCTCTTCCTAGGGACAGGAATTATTATTGAGTGAATAACATAGTTCCAAACAGACCTTGTTTCTATTATAAACTGTTAATTAAATAGGACCCTACGTTAAGTGGAGCTATTGTTTCTTCGACCCACAAGTTTGTGTGGCCGCCTTGTTGGTATAACCGAATGTAGGAAATCAAAAGGTCATATTTTTGGGTAGCCTCCAAAGGTATAATGCCCATATCAAATTTAATGAAAATTTGTCCAGCGGTTGTTGAGTTCAATCATGTTGATGGACATGGTCTGCACGTCGCCGAAGAAAAAATAAAAGGTGACATGCTTACCCATATTGAGTGGATAATAAAATGTTTAATTGTAAATATGCAAAACAGACCTATAAATAATTTTTTTGTATATATAAACAATAAATTCGATTTTTAGGTACATTCGCAACTAAATTTGCAAAAGAGAGTCTATTAGCCTTGCCGTGTATGTTGAATAGAACTAAAATTGCTGAGCGGATATTATCAAATTTCTTATTTGTGGTGTTTTGCTTAAATTTGTCTACACGCTCAATTATTTAAAACCATCTAACAACAACAAATACTTTACATGAAGACCTATACACTTTTCTGCATTCGGAAGTGATTGGTTGGGGAATCCGTAGTCAGACATGTGCCCACGCGGGGAATCCTGCGATTATCTCCATTATGATGTCATCACTGAGCCAGACAGGCGCCAGGCACATGGTCATTGACTCCTGACAGCAATTACATCACTGTTACCATTCGTAAGGATTAAAGGTCGTATTTTGACGGAACAGTCTCCCGTTACTCTTAATGCTCCAGAGATGATAAGGACGAACATGCCAGAGTTGTTACGCAATGCATACATATTCTATTTTTTCTATGTTGTCCTGGGAAGACAGAGGCTGCCTTCCAAACCCTTATTTGCTTACTTTTATGATAATTTCCCTACTTCATTCCGTGTGTCGTTAAGTAAATTAAGATTAGTTCAGTAGTAAATAATTCATGTGATCTAGTGGTTTACAAGTTACCGGAGTCATCTCACGAAATGGAGTGGATATGTATGTGTTGTCTACCGCCGTCAGTCATAAGAGTATGCATCAAAATTCTCCAAACTGCAGGTCCGTGTATGAACATATCCCACAGAAGTTTAAACAGTTCGGTTCATTCATGGGAGATCGTTTCCAGGGTTAAAGCTGTAACACCTGGTTTTCCGAAAAGACTCTAAAGCATGTTTGGGCAGTTGTTTTTAGTTGGGGGCTGGGTGGGAGTATTATGAAATAGCTGAGAAATGGAGAATCATACGGGAAGTTTGCTGAAATATTTTATAGAAACAAAATTTAGACTTTTATCCTAAAAAGGGTACGTAATTCTGGCGACAAAGTTTGCATAAGAGATTTAAGTTTCTCACCAGGGGTGAAGATGTCGATGTTGGTCTCCCGTGTAGTGGACTTGTAGATAGATACCAACATTTCGGAGGAATTTACTGCCTCCATCATCAGGGTCACAGATTGGCAAAACATCTCGAAGCCGTCAAAGTATACCAGTGTGTTGATAATATCTGAAAATCATGTTTTCCCACCTTTCTAATACGGGAGAGAGAGAGATATTAACTAAATTTTCCCTCCAGTAGGTGTAACGTTCATACAGGGCTCTCTTGGGTTCCATTGTGGCCATACTCGTTTACATAGGCATTACCACTATGGGAAGCACGAATCTTTTTCTGAACATTTTCCATTCCAAATCGCCACGCGCTGTCTTGGCGGTTGCAGCAAAGTCGGCACCTTGCCAGTTTCGTGCCCGAAAAAACGAGTAAGTACTTAAGAGGTAAAATGACGCATGTGGTTAAATGTGCAAGCATGCCCATTCTGTAACAGTGATTCTATTTACATATGTTCTTCATTTTCACTACATTCCAAGATGGATACTATCGTCTTTCATCAGCTAGAACTGGATGAAAGTTCCAAAACTTTACGAGTGAGATTTGTGTGACCACGAAAACTAGCCGTGAGAACCTGCCTAAAACTTAGAGATTTAGATGTGAAATTATTAGCATGATTTTACTTGTTGTTTTATAGCCTGTTGTGTAGTAAAATGGTCTCTAATTCTAAGCGAATAGCATAAGTAGATGGTGTTTGACAACATAGTGTTGTGAGTTGATATGGATGGAGAATTGTCACCTATAAAACTTAATGGCGCGATATGGTGCTTCGGCATAGGTTGAACCTTTTAGTTGACACTGAACTTAAGCGAACTAAATCGGCCCACAGTCCCCGAGTTCAGATTGCTGAGCCAAATAGTGTGCCGTGTGTTGCAAGTCGGCTCCACGTGCTTGTGGATAAGTCACAAGAACCACGGGGACTTTTAATCACTCCCCAGTTCCAACGCTTGTTTCTACATTTGCACCGACACTTTTGTTTGACTCTGTATGTTTCGGGTTAAGCGAATTTGAGGAAGCTGTATCTTGTTCTCATACGTGTACTGTCCTCTTCGGATCCGAGAAGTGCGTGTCGAGAACGGAGTTCGACTCGCAATTCGTAGTTTGTCCCCTATTTTATATGGAATCCAAAGGTCCATTATCAAGTTTACAGGACCCAACCACTGGTCTCTGTACTGAATCAGATTAATCCATTCAACACCTTTCCAAATTATTTGTGTGTGATTAGTTTCAATATTATCCTCATATCTACGCTAAGGTCTTCCAAATGGACTCTTCCCTTCACGTTTTCTGACCACTTGTATCTCATACACCTAGATTTTATCGTCCTAAGTTTGTGAATATTTAAAATTATGGAGCCTCTCATTTTGTATGAAACATAGTCATCATGGCGGCGGTGCGCGGACGTGATCTATTACTAGTTAAAGGCAGTGGAATGTGCACTAACTAAAATTATGCACAAAGTGGTTCAATAAATTGTATAATTATTACTTTGTATTTCTTGCTCGCCTTACATATCTTAAAGGACGCAGACGTCATAACTTCTTACAAATTATTTTTTATGCATGATTAACATAACGTTTGAGCAGCCACCACCTCCATTATCTTCTTCTGTGGCAGTTGAAGATGTTTTATGTATCTCTCATTTGCAGATCATTCGGGGGACTTAGTAGGATCTAATATGTTGTGTAAATATTCATTCGACCTTGCTCTATGGTTGGAAGCAATGCAAGGTCTGCGCTTAGTGGGACGTGCTGAAGTTTATCTCTTCTTTTATAAAACCCAAGAATATTATTTTCTCTGTGACCCGTGGATTATTCACTGACAGTAAGATTAGAAACGCTTATATGTTGGCAAGCAAGGAGCCTAGTGTGGTTCACTTCACAATTCAAAGTCTATCTGGAGCTGAACAGAAATAAGTTGTAAGTATGCAAGTAGTGGGTACAGTCGAAGGTAAAATAAAATATTTCACAGCTGTTCCTTAGTCAGCGCTTTTTGACTTCCCTGTTTTTAGTTATCGGCATGTTTAGTCTTTAGTCTTATACGTATAACGAAACAATAATGAACTGTAAGTGAAAATTGGTTTCTCGCTCTAATGAAGCCATATTTGGATAGTGCTTGAGAAAAAGTTACTGGAGCAGATATTTGACGACATATTGCTGGTAAAGTACTAGAAGAAATTTCATAGTCTAATGAGGAGATTTTATACACTAAATATAGGCACATATGAGAACGAAAATACAAGCTCCGTTTATGGGTAAATCCTAACCATTAGGCCTACAGTTTGATTAATTTGTAGTAAGACTGGACAGACTATACCATTGAGTCTTATGATTACATTAGTAGGAGAGTAATTTGCGTTAAACAATGCAGTCATTCTCTAGGCTGCTTTTGTGGTTGTGAAACGTGGTTTCTGCTTAAACGGAAAACATATGTTACTAGTATTAAAAAAGTGTTTAGAAAATATTTGCACCTAAGATGGATGGAGGAAATGATCAGATGCGAGGTTTTCTCGGCTATGATGATGATATGGGTTTTGGCGCCGTGTAGATTCGTCAGTAGATGCCAGCGTTTCGAAGAACAGACTGTATCTACCTGTTTATTCAGTCCTGAAGAAGGAGACAGTATGTTTCTCCGAAACGTTGGCATGTATTGACGTTTCTACAACGCCAAACTATCATCGAGTAAATGGTCAATTTACTTTATTCACAAGGTGTTTGTGATTTAAGAATATGCTGATCACCTAGTAGGTTAGTGAAATCTATGAGAATGCGATGGATCTGAGGTGGGTTGTGTGAGTTGAACGAAACTAACTGAGGATCTTGCCCAAGAGCGGAAACTGTTTTCAGAAACTATGATATCTGTTACGACGAGAGACTTACATTTGTTTAAGTTCATTACAAGTAAACGTTTATTTTGTATATGATCTATTGTTACGGAATGTTATTTTCAGCGCCATGTTCATGAAGTTTTGTGTAATGTTTAAAAGCAAATGTTCCTAATTATTTAAAAATCTCCCTCTGCGATTTTATTTCCACGCTTAGGTCATTATTCTGTTGACCTAATCTCTTGGGTACAATACAAAATTCTTAAGAATATCCAATTCTTTGCCTACCTGTGTCTGTTGTCTAGTTGCTAGGCGAACAGAGAGAGGTTTTATACTGCATCAAACGATCTGTGCCCACAACTGTTTTCGTTGATTGACATTCGTTTCATGCATTAAAAGATCACTGCGGAGGGTTTGCGATAAACATAAACTATGTGTGTACCAAAAAATATTGGAGATAAAAAACGGGAATCCTAAATATGTAG